GTGACCACGTCTAAGTTGTGTTGTCCATTACAGTGTTTGTTACTAGTTCTGGGGAGAGGATCATAGCTTATTAGGAGAATGCAAAAGAGAAAGGGATGTTGAAATATCAAGCTATTATTATCATGGGCGTATTCATACCAGGAATGGCAGATCCCTCTCAAGATTCAGATCTAGCGAGGCCTCACCAACAGCGAAATTAATTCGTCGAAATTGAAGTTACTTCGGTCTTGCAGACTTAATTCATCTCTCCACCCTTACAATATTGATTCCGCTGAGGGGTATCTTAGAGTTGTAACATAGGTGCCGCATCCCATCATATCAATTATACCAAGCGAAACAAGCTTTCAAAGGGGCAGGAGAAACCATCGTTTAGCACGAAAATTGTCTAGTGCGTTGACGCCTGAAGTTCTAGCAGTATGTAGTAGAAGCTTGGCTACTAATGATGAGTGGGGAGTAACGCCAAAGTTTCTTTGAGAACTAAGTTTGACTGAATCATATCGGCATATAGTTCTTTCCTAGGCGAACAATTTAATTCAGAAAACCTCAGAATCCTGAAAATACCTATACTGGTGTGACAGTTTTCCGACTCTACTTCGATATCGATTCTACATACCCTCCACATATGTAACGCAAAGCCTAGTTCATAAAAAAATCTAACATAGCTTAGTATTAGAGATTAAAGTTGAGATTACGAATTTCGTATTTCATCGCAACAATCACATAGAGCGACCGTCAAATGACAGTTTATCACTCCAAATTCATTCGTTGGATGGATGATTTTCCCACAAAAAAAATTAAAGAATAACAGAGAAAGATTGACGATGATAGAACTTACGATACCTAGTTCTGAAGTAGAGGTCGCTGATTATCGCGTACAGCAGAATTTCCGAAGATCTCATGCCACTGTTGTACAAGCTTCCTCGGCAAGTCAGTATACCATGCAATACCAACGAACATGAGAATGAAACCAGCCCAAGTAGCAAACAGCGTGAGCCATATACCATACACCGAATAAGATCCATCCGGGTTGTACATTGGAACATCGACGCCGAGCGCATTCTCTTCGGTTACATACAGAGGACCAAGGCCAACATCAGGACAGCTGTCGGTGATACCATTTACCTTCTCCACTTCGTACGAACAATCATTAAAGTGGAATTTAACAACCTTCCCTGTTTTAGAGTCGGTCATGAACCAATTATTGGAATCCAACAGAACATGACGAGTAAGATCAGCCATAACACCAACAGTGGCCAAAACCACGCAGTAGAACGGACCCCATTTCCTCAAGTGAGGAGCAGCGTTACGCCTCTTAGACTTAGTACCAGCATACACGAACTGACACAAATTAGTAAATATAGCTAGATTGAGACCAAAAGTAATAGTGTGGGAAAAACCATTGAGACCAGCAGTACTTGCCAAGCCAAGCAAGCCGAAGACCAATACCGGCCAACATCAGGCGCCAAGTAGAGCTGGTATCGATATCAACAGAGTGAATATCGATACAATAATAGGTCTACGAGCAGACTCGGCTGGCACAGCAGTAGCAACGTTAGCTGGCTCTTCTGGACCGTCTCAGGCACTGCACTCCTCGACATCTAAGGGCGGTGGATCCCCTACGGGCCGATCCACGAAGGGTTGAATCATTGTAATGGAGCCACAAACACTCACGAAAAGGTTTAACTGCAACAAGATAATGATCAATGACAAAGTGACACATACCCCAAAGACAACCGAGACTACGCTAGTGCTGCTATTGTGCTACATACTGCTCCATAAGATGAAAGCGCGCGCCCATCCCAGACAGGAACAACACAAAACTTTTCCAACTATGTGATAAGTTGCCTATGACATACGCCAACAGCGATGATGACCATCATCCCGAAACGGTGGCCAAACACTGCCAGCTACCAAACTGCTACGCTCCGCCTTGTCTATAGTACGAGTGTCGACGTTCAGGTGTGATACATTTAATACGGATTGGAACGGCTCGCATCAGTACTTGAACTCGGAACTGCCATATGAAATTATCGATCCGATTCAAGCTAGATGAGACGTACCTCCCGCTGATGGATACGACTGTTGCGCCGCTGGTTGTTGTTGTTGCTGTTGGGTTTCCTGTTGCGCCGCTGGTTGTTGCTGTTGCTGTTGACTCGCTGCTGCAGCCATCGCAGCGTAATAGGCAGCATAACTAAGCAAGAGTTCCAGTAGCCATCACAGCTCCTAACTCACGGGTCGGTCATCTGGCCGGCTTGTCCTCCCTGCTGCTGAGCCTGATAGTTACCATAGTATGCCGCGTAAGGGTAATATGCTCTGAATATAACGTCGGTATCAATTCAATGCCACCTTTATCCCAGTACGCTTGTTGGGCCGCCAGTCCTGCCCATCCCTGCTGCATCGCAGCTTGAGTATAGGCATCACCATAACCTTGAGACTCGGGAGACTGGACGAGAGGGATAACAACACTGCGGCCCGATGGATACTGACAGCCACTACCTCCCAGCCTCTGCCTCTCCCTTTACCCCCTCCATCCGAGCCTCCATGCCGTTGAGAGTTCCGAACCTCGACCTATGAGGAGCTCCAATGATTTGCTCAAGCATCGTACGTTCTCACCCAGCGACCATCTATCATATTGTTGCCATTGATAGCAGCAGCGACGGCATCTTCTGAATCAAACGTCACGAAACCATACCCTTTCGATCGTCCAGTGTCTCGGTCCCGCCTGATGCGAAGAAAGGCCTTTCCTCGAGCACAGCGCGAGAGGTCCACAGCAGCACTCACATAGCAATGCAATCGACGATGTTGCCGTATTGGGAGAAATGCTGACGGAGACGCTCTGAAGAAAGGGTTGATTGAAGACTAGCTGCCTCAACCACCAACCTGTGTCGCAGTCCTGCGGCAACCCTCCACAGAACACCTTCATCGGGTCGTCACCGCCACGTCTAACAAGAGAGATATACCATCAATTCTAGTGACGTAGCATAGTAGTACCGGGAAGGGCCGCCAGATCTATCAGAACCCCAGCCTGACAAGGAGAGACCAGTGACTACTTACTGTTGTAACTCCCTCAACCGAATCACAAAGCTAGTATTCGCGAGAGATAATAAGGCAGTACCTCCTCTATGAGGGTCCTTAGGATCTTGAGACCGATTCACATCGACCCGCTTTCCGTTCAGTTGATGTGGGCCTCTCGCGAGGCAGTTCTAAACAGGCGATACTTTTTTCCCATCAAGATCAGCAACCCCTCCCACACCCTTTCATAATTACTACCTCCACCTCGTCCGTAGTAGAGTACGTTACGAAGCCAAATCCTCGGCAACGACCGGTCATCTTATCCGTCATGACGATTGCTCTCTCCACATGACCAAATTGTGAGAAATACTGATGGAAGCCGTCGTCGGTGATACCCTCTGGTATACCACCAACGAACAGTTGCTGAAAGAAAAGCGTATAACAACATCTGCACGGCTGTGGACGAATGGGTTCTGTCACGCAGCACTGCGAAACTAAATAAGCTTACTCTTCGGTCTTCAGCTGCTCTGTCACCATACTGGCCACCGTATCCCTGATACCGACTCTACCGTTGATTCCCCATAGAAAGCTTACTCCGGATCCAAACGATGGTCCTCCCTGCTCCACAACCTTCCCACCAAGTTGATTCGATAGAGACGCCGCTGTCTTAGCCGCGATGGCTGCTGCAGCGGCAAAGGGATCCTGCTGGGCTGATGGGGAGAGGATCACTATCACTCTAACTCGACCTTGCGAGGCATTCATTACCTTGCGAGCTCCCTCCTGTGGCAGCTGACGGAGGCGGCCCGGAAAAGTTACTGCCAGGATAATTAGAAGCCATGAATATCACTCGGCAAGGCTGAAGGGATATCACTGCACTACATGAAAGGTTCACTGAATTCTGGAGTCAAATTATCACGACGGAACATTGACTAGTACCATACCAGGTCTAGTGGAAGACTCTGTCCAGAGCGAGGAAAATTGACAGAGTGAACTCTTGCGTGATGATACGGCTTGCGAAAACGAGTTATTAGAGACGCAACCCGCGTGGGGGAGGTACACGTCCGTTAAGAAGTTACTCGATTATCCCAAGTTCCGCATTTGCGTTCATCGCGCTCGCCATCACGATCGATACCAACTACAGCATTAGATATAAGTGTATTGAGTTGCACTGATCGCAGGGTTAATATTTTGATGTCTCCTCCTCAACTTGAACTCGAATTATGAAGTTGCTTATCGTCGCGTTAAGTGAATCGAACACATCGCGTTGACTGCCGATCTCATTCGGCATTCGGATTCGACGGTGAAATTTGAAGCGTCTATCCCTCGAAGGGGACCGTTCGAGTTACGCTTTGGTTATCGAATGACTGCCCTTTCGGATATCTGCAGTGATGCCTCGTCGTTGCCGAGCTATTACTGCCATGGCTCATCCTCTACCACTGGACGATCGATAGACAGCAACATACCACTGCTGATTGAGGTACCAGTACCACGGCCAACGTAGAGTCGAGATTGCATCTGGTCGGCAAGCTAGGCTCCGTCTCGTCAACTCATGGAGAGGTTTTATCAAGGGCCATTACTGCTCCGAGAGTCCATCAAGTAAGTATCTGAAGTTCAGGGCGCTTCCCAGTGGTGACTCCTTCATCGTTCCATCGGTAAATTGTTTAACTATGGTAATCGCGATCGTTGCATAATAAGCATTTATGAGCTGCATAAGCGTTATAAATAGAGTTGCCATGCTCCCATAGTTCGGTTGTTTGGGGGAACTACTCGCATTTCACATCTACTCTCTCGCATCTACTCTTCATTTACACATTTCACCACTCGCATTCGGCGGTATTTTTGTATGTCTCCCACCCAGTGGGCAAGTTCGCCCGGTCGTCGGAAGTGAGTGCCACAGCAACTCTTCCGGTAGCTCCCGTAGTGACAGTCCATTCTCGAAGATGGACCTAGCCGATTGACGAAATTTGCGCTATATAATTGCTTTCCTCAACCGGAGTCTGACGAAGTACTCGACACGAATTTCCGAAGTCTTGGAACGTCGGGTTAGCCCTATGACCGTCGATCGTCCCGAATGTCGCGAGCACCAGAATAGTACCATGCCCATTTCTTTTGGTTCATGATTGATAAACTTCAGACTGTTGAATACACCGAAGCGTGAAAGGACAACCGTGAAGACGTGTGAGCAAGTTACATATCGGGGCAGAAACACCTTCACCAGTAAGGCTCAAGGATCATTTTCTCTTCGACGATCTAATTGTCGTCAGACGCCAATGAAAGTAACAGGGGTGTAGACGAAAGCTGGCAAGCAAGAATAAGTAGCGAAAGCTTAGATAGAGACCGGGACTGGTATAGGGCCAGGTAAACCAGATGACGACAAGCAAACGAGTCCGCTTGGACTTACTTGAAGCTGATCAACTATACCCCACCCTATGTTGTCATTTGTTTTGTCTTTGCGTGTGTCATCCAGTTCTGTATCATAGACACAATTCTCACTCTGGCAATCTTAAATGCAATAGTCCTTACTTCAGAAGCCGTAGTCTAGCCGAGCGAGGCGATTCCATCTCGGGGAACGAAGCCACTAAAGAAAGGTGCCCAATGGCCAGCGACTGATTGACGTTACAACATCGTCGACTATGACTCGATTTGAATACTTCTAAGAATAACTGACCACGCCATTCATCTTCGCGAGGAAATCCTCTCAGACTGTTGCAACGCCATCAGGGGCACGCGGAAGCTCAGCAAGCAAACGAGCAAGCTCGGTCGTATCCGGGGACCAGAACTATCTTCTACAGCAACGGGCTTGTGAGGTGACACGTCACAGATGGAATCCTCATCGCATCACGGAGCTCGTCGATGGTTGATCCGTTAACATTAAAGCTTATCGCTTGGTAGCTTACAATGGTTTTCCATCCTTAGACGTGGGCTAGCACGGACGAGACGACCCGGCCGGTCGTCCTTCCCCGCAGAGGTAGATATCCCCTTTACTCGACCTAGTTAAACAACACTGTCAGGTGAAATCGTTGTCCCCCGTATCGAGTCGATCACAGTTTAGCAGGTGCATACTCCTGAACAGAAAGTCATTTCGACTTGACGACCCTGCTCAGATCATACACACCCAAGCTAACTGGTTCAACGCAGAAACAATATTCACGGGCTCAGAAGAGCCGTCATCACGGTCAAACTAGAGATCCGACAAAAACAATCAATCCATCTAGGCTCGCGACAGCAGATCTGAGATCGTTCGTTGAAAAGGTTCGACAAGAGCTCAGTAAAGAGGTGGCAAGGCAACACGATCTAGGTCCCGCCGCCACTGTGGACTATCAGGTCCGAGCAGTGGAACGGCGTGTGGAAGACATCGAGCGAAGTATGGTATGACTTCAGATCAGGCAGGGGTGTGTCCTCTGGGTTACCGTTTAGATGTCAAGGATGGCGATGAATCAGTATGGAGGGCATCGCCACAAAGGAAACACCTAGGCGTTCATGAGCTGTACTGTGAGGAGGAAGCCCATGCCCTTGACCTCGGCCGAACCCTCCAGACGCAGGAGGAGCGGGTAGACTCTATTATTCATGGCCGACGCAGAACTAGAACCATCTGGCCTGGAGTAGGTACTCCGCCTTATTGGTCATATGATTGAGCAGTTGATGTGTAGCAGAACTCGTGAAGCTAGAATGATCAGAGAGACGGCCGGAGTATCATGTGTTCATAGCCCAACCCAAAGGGTAGTGTGCTTTGCCGTAGGTAGACTCCCGGGCATGCCTCCTTCCACAGAGCCTTATGGAGGTATGTACACCCGTATAGTCTCGTCTCTCCTCTCGCACTATGGCTCAGAAACAAGTTCGAAATTCACCCCGAGTAGTGAGTCGTTACGCTCTATCTGAACTGGACGAACTACGGAAGAGCGTCGATGATCTTCGCTGTATTGTTTCCAATGCCGGTCCCAGCACAGCCACAGCTGAGAAAAGGGTAAATACTGGTGTCACCCCTTACGTTGGCGGAATCACTGTGCCGATGTAGCTAACGACACCGACATTCCATCAGGAGGTCCAAAGTCCGCCCCAGGAGAAGAGTACAACGCAGCTTGTGCAACACAGCTCTAAGCTCATAGAAAGCAAACCCACTGATGATCCCCATGCTGCACAGTCCGAAGTGAGCTCATGGAGTGACACCCTTGAAGTGTCTGCGAATTTTCTTCTGACTAACCGTTGCTATCGCTGACGGATGATGGTTGCTCTCCTCGTGTAGGCAGACATGGTCGTTTCGCAGAGTAATCACCTTCCTCTGGCAAGCATGGACCCAGAGATGGCGAGTCCCTCCTCGTCTACATCAGGGAGTGTGGTAGAAAATGCTACACCATCGGTGGAGGGAGTAACTGGGGTCGGAATAGGGAGCGTCTGCGCGGAGTGTCGGAATATATCTTTGCTTTTATCAACTAAGTTCAAGAGTTTCCGCCTTACATTTTGAAGATTTACACACGACTTGGGGTAGAAGTGTATAAGAACCAACATGAATCACCCAAGTCACCAACACGCCTAGTTGACCATGAACATATTTTCCAACGTTGAACCTGCATCCTCGAACTTATGAAAGTTGCTGTGCGACAGGCTCACAACCTCTCCAACTGGCAACACTAGGACAGCATAACTTGGATTTACGTCTGCACTTTCCAGTATGGAGGTCCCTTCCTCAGGTGGCAGACAAGCGATGTACAAGCGGTAAAGCGCTGCTCGGACGAGACGTCGATGATGAGGTACGCGATGATGACCCTGATCTTTCAGAACTGGTAAAGAGGCGACCAATTTCGTGACCAGTCGTATTGGCAGTTACGGATGCGGGCCCGTCTAGAGGAACAATTGCAGCTGATGGAGTGTTGATAAGTAGGGAGGGGCATGAGGGTGAGCCGTTGCTGATCAGCATCGATGTCTCTGGCCCTCTACTGTTGTGTTCATTCAACTACCCAATCGCTGCAACGTTTAACCGTTACTCAATTCTAACTCAATCTTCTGACTGAGCTCCGGTTCGGATCGGTGACTCAGCATGGCTTCACGTCGACTCCCCTTCCCCCTAGGTTATCTAGTAGCTCCGCCCCCTCAACCAGACATTGTAGATTGAAGATGTTGTTGGTAATTTACAAATTGTAAACAAGCGATTGAACGAGTGAATGGATCATTTCTACATACAGCAAGGCTGACTAAGTTTGGGTTGAAGCTTATTTAACAAGTCAGGCCTGAAAGAATGATCATCGGCCCCATCAAAGCTGCATTCAACTTACTTATCCTCGGCTGACTTTGAGACTTGCGCTCGAGTCAACACTGATGAACTGTCGTTAAGACGGCTCGAGCTCGAGCCAGGTTGTTGAACTCCGTTCGGCGGAACAGTCCGGGGATCAGAGGTTCATGTACGATGCATTATACATTGTGGGGGTGCCCCTCCTCACGACAGAGACCTGACACGATAAAAGTAACATTGCGAAAGCGATGGTTCGTATAGAACTATAGATTATACGTGTGGGGCAAGACATGGAAGGCACACGGTGACTTACATTATGTCGGAAGGACCCTCGGTAGCCGGCCACACCCGCCGATCTATGCTGTTGGTGCCGCAATAAATTATACTCCTACGACGATGAGGGAGAATCCATCATCGCAACCGTCTCTCGACGATTCTTACTGTTTGCTTCCTTATATGTCTGATTTCATCTGCTATCGTTGCGAGTTCATGCAATTCTTCGTGGCTAAGACTAGGCTCTAGAATGACATCTCCTGGTACCGACTGACAATCAGAAGTGTCTGTTGGAGCCCCCGATTGATCAGCTAGTTCGCATAATCGTTGAACTAGGTCCCTTTTACCACCTAAAAGGAGGTTACTCGGCAGAGACCGCAGCAAGGTGCATCTTACCGTCAGAAGCAATACCCTTCTGTTTACACAACGTTCGCAACTGTCCGACGCGCATGGCCCCAAACTGTTGATGGAGGTCGGCCATTATAGTTTTTGAATGGAAACTAAATTATACACGTTTGACATGGTAGAAGTATTAGGTGGTAGTGGTAGAATCCACTATAGTGAAGTATTCCTTTTCCAGTTTGATGATGGCTTAAAGTCGCGATGTTCGTGGTGGCGTTGAGGAAACGCAAGAGTGCAAGTTAGGACATCCTTTAGTCCTCTTCTTCCTCATGCCTTCCCTGTCGGCGCCCCTAGGAGTTTTTGTTGCGTCTCTGATGAGTTGCAGGATCTCCGACCATTGGTTTATCTGATGATGGCCACGTTTAAATGTCGATCAGACGGTGAAGAGTTTAGGGCGAGCGAGACTTCGTCATCTCTGTGCGAATTAGCCGAATTGTCTACTGTGAGAGATTTCTCTGTATGGTCTGGTGTGTGGACACTTCGTGGTGGTTGTTAACTCGCACGTTGAGAAAGCCTGAGTGACCTGGTGATAGCTGCGAAAATGTAGGGCTACGCCCAGCTGTTGTTTGAGAAGTCATGTAGGGTGATATCTTTGAGGTTGACTTGGAAGATACGCATGATGTTCAATTGATGTGATGTCGCGTTCGAATAGCTGCTTCTGCATCTCTAGCAATGGCAACGACTGAATTTGAGAAGACTGCCGAGGCGACTGCGACCGCTGAGAAGGCTGAAGTGATTGAGAAGGTTGATGAGGAAGAGGTGAGCATCTTCCTCGGCACTGCTGTTCTTGAAAGTCAGGCGCTGTAGGTTACCGAAGTTGACGGATGGGCCCCTTCGGTCTCTCTTGAGGTCAATGATAGGATTGAGACTGGTGAAGAAGACGAGCAAGAGTTGTATCGTCAGAGGAGCAAGCTTTACAGGTTGCCCGCTTTTCGTATAGTTCTCGATCAACATCGTTTCTTTAGGTGGATATCCAAGGATGAGGGCTCCGGGGAATGGAAGGAACGCGGCACAGGGGAGATGCGACTTTTGAAGGAGAAGAAGAGCGGCAGAGTACGCAATCGGAAGGCGGGCCTTGAGTTCTGTCATTTCGATGATGTAGGTACGTGCTCTGATGCGCCAGGAAAAGACTCTGAAGATCATTGCTAATCATTACGTTGTCGAGAATGGCCCTTACTGCAGCCTCAAACCCAACGCTGGGTAAGATAGTAGTGTGTATAACACAACTGGACTTGTGTCCACTCTAGGTCTCAGAAGTGCTGGGTGTGGATGGCCAGTGACTATGCTGAAGGTGAACAACGTACGGAGCAGTTCGCTCTGAAGTTCGGCAACCCTGAGCTCGCCCAGGCTTTCGAAAAGGCTTTCAATGAGGTATGTTCAGCGTTGTAGGATCAGAATGGGTTGGTCATTTGCTCGGTTACAGGCGAAACAGGAGAATGCCAAAATCATCTCTGGGGAGAAGACTAAGAGAAACGAGGCTGTCGAGAAGGAAGAGAAGGAGGAGGAAGATGAGAAGAAGAAGGAAGAGTGAAGTTATGGTGTCCGTCGGCTACAGCTCCTTGTTTGGTGCATTTGTATGACGTTTCTATTGATAAAATAACAAACACTTGATGCCTTCCCTCCGGCTTGGGTTGGTCATGAATGTGGAGTAGGCTGTTAGTGGCTTCACTTGCACAATGACAGGCGATCAGCATTTTTGGGATGAGACGAGGAAGCCCTGGAACGACTTGGAAAATGAGCGCAGACCGGTGAAGCCGCAAAAGAAGGCGACCGGTAATAGAGTTACCCAAGATACCGGTAAGTCTTCGATTTCGAGTATGTATGGGCCTCGCGGAATTGTCATACCTCTCTGATGATAAAAGCATTGTTTCTGACTATACAAACCTAGATTTATCATCTATGATTACGCTCCACTAGTAGACTTGTCTTGATCTTTGAATGCCCCGCTTTCGATCGAAGTATTGCTGTCGAAAGTTGTGTAGAGTAGATGCTATTCGTACAAGAGTCATAGAGTGTCAGCAAGAGGGACATTGTTAGGGAAAGCGTCCCAAGCTATGGCTGGTTACTTTACTGATATGGTCATGCAACAAGTAATCAATGACAAGTTAAAGATGTCCTCAGATGCGGCAGGGCATGAAATGAAGGTAATAATGCAGGCTGGTGGGATCGAACCTGCGTGGAAGCCACTCGGTGCTGACCTCAGTACTCCCTTCCGCCTCAAGTTGCACTGCCGAGCAAAAAGAGGAAAGATGAGGATGAGTCTTCGGAGGAAGGGGGTGACTCGGATAGAGAAGACCGGAAAGCGGGGGATGCGGACTTCGACCTTGAGGCTATTCGAGCCCAACGTGAGGATTCACTTTATACTCAGGGTTCCTTTGGCTGAGTCGTTAGAGTGACAGTCGACAGACCCATAGGCTGTGAGTTCGAATCGTGGTAGCGTATTCTTCCTGATCTGGTCGACTAGAACATCCTCGTGCGACTTCAGCATCTTGTTTAGAGGGAAGTGCTCTAGCGGGTGCAAGACTGTAGTCGCTCGCGTATGGTGTTGGCAGGACTCGCTAAGTTGAAAGCTGAGCATAAGGCCGCTGCAGAGAATCGTGCGAAGGGTCATGGGGAGCTGAGTGAAATTATAGAGTCTGAGTTCTTGGATGCGGTGACGAAGAACGATAAGGCGATTGTAGTGCTGGAAGGGACGTCAGCATGAGGATAGACTCACGCTGAACTGCTGTGATTAGGGAGAGTTGCTCCACAAGGGAGTGCCCTTAGGTTCACTTCTATCATCGCAGTTTCAGGAAGTGCAAAGTGATCGACAAGCATCTCAGCCTGTTGGCGCCTTTGCTACTCGATATCAAAATGGTTCGGGTAAGGGTTCTGTTACGCGCTGGTTGGACCTCATGGCCATGTTGGGGCCTGCTGAGAGCTGTGGGGTGAAGGTAGCTGTTCTTGTGTAGTTGGATGCCCAGAAGGCGCCGTTCTTCGTGGAGAGGCTCAGGATAAGGGTGCTGCCTACAACCGTCTTGTTCGTCAAGGGAATCGCCGTAAGAAACACTACGAGCTGATTTTTCGTCAACAGTAGAAATGCTGGTTTGGAGTTTTCCCGTGGAAATTTGTGACTCCTAATAATGAGACTTCGACTATGCACTGTAGACTGTTTTCTGGCCAGCTCAATTGGTTTGATGTAAAAGGTCATACCGTCTGTCAGGTATATCATCTTGTTGGATTCGAAGGTCTACGTTGCATAGACGGCGAGGATGTGACTACCCTTAGTCTGGCCAGAGTGCTTCGCGCGCCTCGAAATCATTACTTTCAATTCTCTCTCTCAGGTACTGTATGAGAATGATATGATTTCGGATGGAGCTCTTGATAGTCTCGAGCGTAATTGATTCGGTAATATCCGATGAAAAGCGCATTCTGCAGGTACTTTCGGCGATGAGCACAATCGGGCTGAACAAGGTGTTGGAGAAGCCGATGAAGATGATGAATTGAATTAGAGTCAGGGGAGGTCAATCATGTTCGTTGGTTTAATCACATTGGTCAAGTTTGATGACTATTTTGTGTTTGGTTGAATGGCCCCAAATGAAAGTGGGGGCCGTGGTACTGCGACGCGGCGAAGTCGTTAATTCCCTCGAGTACCTGCTAATTGTTAATGGGGACATGACGTTCGATGATGGTACGTTTTCCCGGTTATTATTTGCCATTGTTATTCCCGGACGACGCCCGGTCGATCACTGTGTACCGAGTTGTACGGTATTTGCACAATACCGAGAACCGATACCCGAATGTCCATGCACACATGCACAAGTTTCTCTTGGAAGTGGACGCACACATGCCGATGTACTTTTTTTCCACCCGGAGGGTGGATTTCCCTGAGAGGGAGTGGTGGGCGGGGGAGGTGGAGGAGATGTTCGGGTATCGGGTGAGTATGCGAAAGGTTATGAGACCGTCTAATTCGTTATTAGCCTAGTCTCGAGCCATTGATTGGCATGTCTATGGCGTCGCTGCTCGATCACCATGTCTCTGATCCTTTAGTTTGATGAATGATACACCTTCTGAGGACAACGAGCAGATCAGGTCGCTGAGGTACCTGCTGGCCACGGCTCATAGCCGAGTGAAGAGGTGAAGGAGATACTGGAGCAGTCGATTGGGTTTGGGCCGGAAACTGAGAAGAGAAAGCCGAGAGTACCGAAAGAACGAACGATTCGGAGGAGAACAAATCACGACTATGATGAATGTTCTCTCGTGTTAGTGTAACTGTGTCTACATTTGCGTTGTAAGATTTGACTAGTCACTCGAGGGAGACCATTTCTCGGCCGTGTATGCCTCGTAGCCACCCATGATCCGCCACTCAGGATTATGGCTCAATCGAAGAGCGTCGTGCATCTGATTCGTTCGTCAGAAGATCCAGTCCGACATGCCGAACAGGCAATAACAGCGACGAGGAACGAGAAACGATGAGGATACTGGCAAGATTGAAGTCAAGCACAGTTATTAAACGACAGCGGCAGGATTCGAACATGCGCGGGCAGAGCCCAGTGGATTTCTAGTCCACCTCCTTAACCACTCGGACACGCTGTCATTCTACAATCTAGCGTACCTCCCAGAGTCTGCCTGTGCGATACCGCTGCAACCTCGGATTTGTCTCTGGAAATGTGTGCGATTTTGGATGCAATTCCGATGGCCTGCAGTGTCTGATCGTTTCTGTCGAAGTTCACTCTGCAATGAAGTTCTGACAGGACTGTTGTGTCGAGGAACTGTCCTTCTGCCAAAAGGAGTTTTGTTCGATCTTACTGAGCCAGGCTTGCCGGCAAATAGAGTCTTGCAAGAGTTGCATATGTTACCGCCCTGATGAGCAGTTCTCGTTATCGTCGGTAGGGTGCGGCCCAAGGATAATGGTTATCCTCTGCCCTGCATGTATCGAGTCCATTGATACTAGGCACACGACTGAGCATCACTGCTTAGAAACGTAGAGAATGGCTACCATGGCACTCGTTCATCTGTGCTTCATACACGTAGACCAAATTGCGTCCTACCCGTTCTTGAATAGGTCATTATTGTATGTCTGCGAACCGCTGCCTATCACTGTACAGGACTGGTCCTGACTACTTGTGAATGATTCCCCAACATGGTATCGATATTTTTGTAATGGGAGGAGCTACGCCGCCATGGAAATGGATGATCACAGCGGAAGTGTTCGACCCCTCTACCCTGCCGCTCCCCACAAACACGGCGTTCTCGAGTTCACGATGACTCGATTTCATAGATCGCATCCAAATGTGGCCAATGGTGTATGTTCTCGCAAATTTCGACGTCTACGTAATATCGATTTACGATCTTGCTCTGTCGGGTGAGCATGCATCTCAGCCTTGGGGTACGCTCCCGTGAAGCTGTCGATAACGTCATGAATGAGCCAACTCTTGATTCTCTTACTCCCCGAATATTATTTTTTTTCCGATCCCCACCTCTCAAAATTGATCTTCAAACCCGAAACAAGAGAAAGAGTTTACTCCTGATCTGCAGCGAACCAACACGACTTCTACTGAATTCAATCGCAGTCACGAGGGATACCAACATCTCGACATTGTGTGGAGGGCATCGTCTTCAAACCCAGGTCCCGTCGCGACCGGGCTCCAACGGGCTCATCTCCTCCTCCCTACCTGACGAGAGAAACCTCAACAGGAAACTGTGAGAGGTCGTGGCGACTGACCTTGCTCGATGTACGGATTGCAATGAACGTTTCTGATCAGGGGCTCTACATAGACCTCACCATTGAAGTCATCGAAAGGGGGTTCGATCGACCAGACACCCGTAAGGTGCTCATAGTAGTAGGGGAACTGAGAGGAAACGACACGAAGTACTCCAAGACACATAACGGACTTGATCGCGAAAACCGAGATTAGTATACACTCATGGCTACTGAACTTACGTCTCCGGCTGTTAGCTTCTGCCAGAAAGACGCATATGACCACCGACTGGACTTAACATTAGCTCGGTGCTTTTTGGCTTGCATGTGCATCGACCATTGATACCAATCCCCGAGTTGAGCGTCGCATAAGCGACAAACCTGAGGGGGATCCATCTACATTGTTATCTGCTCGAACGCCTCGCTCAATCAAGCCGTCCCAATAGAGGAAGGTAGATGATAGAGTAGATATGCAATGCACATCTAATAGCATACACATTGTGCACGCTATTGGTGGCATCGATAGTGTCAGTTCGGCTGACTCACCATATCCCAACTCTCAGCCATTGCGGGGGCTTCTCCCCAAGTATTTGGAGGACGTTCATCGAGGGGTGGTATAACTCCACAACCGGCCAGGGATCGACCATCTTAGGAGGAACGATTGATCCAAGTCCAGTGGCCAAAAGAGAGCTAACCTGGGTAGAACTGCGCGGAGCACTGCTCGACGAAGTCCCTAAAGCCGCTATACTGCGGATCCTTCTTCCACATAGGCTCGCCAGCTTCCACCCCAGTCTCCGGCGATTGAGATGTGTCCATCGTATATGCAGACAGTGTATCGCTGTTCAGACTGGATGAAACTAACAATAGGCCAGGTGCGAAATACAGAGAGCAGCTGGTGGTTACCTCTCGCACCAAGCGTCTCCTCTTGAAGTCTCTTCCGCTTCTCATGCTCCTCCCATTGAAGATTACGGAGATTCTTTGCATGTTTCTCGCCTTGCATATGGGATAGAAAAATACCCTCGTAACAGACCGCGATCTGAACAGAAAACAAGGCATTCCACCCATCTGTGTGAGGGGCGGCTACCTACATCGCATAACGTACACTTCCATGAACCATCCTTATCGCGGCCGGCGAAAAAGCCATGGTCGCCCTCCTCAGAGGAGTCCATCGGAGGATATACCAACTGATGACCGGAAAAGAGAGACCTACGCTGGGAGGACCGAAACGTGGGCGTTCCCACTCGACACAGTGCAGACGGTGAACGCAGCGCAACGTCGATGATACGTTATGACCTCTCACTCAACAGAGTCAATGAGATGACCGCTCGAGAACCAAGGAAACCTCGTAAAGTTTACAGTGACGTAGAAGACTGCCCGTTGGCCCTCCAGCCAGGCTGAGATGCCGAACTATATCTGTCTGTGGTTGAAGCTCAGTAATGCTGAAGCGTGCGTTATCACCACTCGCAAATTTATCAAAGAAATCTTGGGCGAAAACATCGCAAGGCGGTATTGCAGGATGGACGATATTCAACCGTTCTTCACAACAAAGGATGGCTTCCGCTCGACTGAACCTCGAAAGTAGGGCGAAGAGCGCATCGCCGAAAGCGTCATTGATAGCAAAATCATACCACACGTCAGCAGCTAATATCAACCCAATGTCCTCATCGAGGGCGTCGAAGTACGTATCAGGATCCTTGAAGTCGAGCCGTCTGACCGCAACTTTATCGTTGTCCACATTGTTGGTATCACACAGGGACAGAGCAGCTCGTGAAAAATCCGTTAATACAGCTCGTTGGACACACAAGGCTTGATAGAGACCACCCAAAGCGCCGACCCCGCAGGCCAGCTCCAATACTGCAATGCCCTCTACCAGGAATGGGTTCTCCACCAGATAGCAGCCTAGGAACAGTGCACCGTTCCAGAGTTGATCGCCTACGCTGTCCAAATCTGTACACTCAGAGTCACACTGAACAGAGTAGTAAAGCTCATGGGACTTCACAGAGCGAACAAGATCACCGTCAGAGTCGTATTCGAGATCGAAGGACGATTGAGGCAAGGTCCACCGCAGATAGATAGAGTTGGACCCTTTACGGGGCTGTAAGTCTGATGCATACACCATCAAGGGGAAGACTCCAACTGCGACTGTGAGAGTGAACAAATAAGCACCAACGACGGATCTACCGCGAACACTGCGTCTAATAAATCGCCTTCCTCCGTCGTCTACTGCACGGTGCCACATTATGCTGCATTATTAGTGCGTGTTACGACACCCTTACTAAAGCTATTCTCTTTGCCAGGCTTCAACTCGAGAGCATTCAAGTGGGAAAATCGTCGTCAACACGAAGCATGGGAGTCGAGCTGTTCAGAGATGAGTATCTTTTTGATAACTTACAGAATGTTAGTGTTTGCTCATGTAAGAAAACCGAGACAGTCGAATAACCAAGCGTATGTCAATCGCAAGCCGGAGCTCTACGATCACCTGCGGCTATACTCCTCGAATACCCCAAAAGGGTTGATTCATCTCGGATGAGTCATTCGCCGGAGCTTAAATCACCAGAGTGAAACTGCTCACTGTATTGCTCAGGTAACACTCTGTAGCAAATGGATCATTCCGCCAAGGCAACGCCTGTGAAGCTGACTCGAGAGGGCCAGTGAATGGAGAGCGAATCGAAGGAGTTGAGATGCTATCACTCGCGCGGACAGAGCCTGAAAATATAACAGCAAGTAAGTCAGCTGACAAAGTTTAGGGACATTCGTGTTTTTGAGTGAATATGTCAAAGATATTCACCCAAAAACACGAGTACGAATATCTAATTGTCGGAGATATTATCTCTGACTATTCAAAGAGCTTGAAACTTCGAATTCGAATGGTCCGAACCGTGGCGGGTCAACCGTCGCACTCTCTATAATGATCGATCCTGTAATTATATTGAGATTCCACAGTAGAAGGACAACATGTGAGGTTATCATCATGATAATCAATTAGATGTTGACAACCTCAAGACTAAACTCAGTTACTGGGGTTGTTCCACTAGTAACCCTTCTTGTAGATGATGGACCTCTTGAATCTGTCAGTGCACCCAGGGGTCTTCCAAAGTTGAGAAACTCTGGAAGGAATGCGCATGCCGTCAACTTGACGGCTTCAAGCATCAAGTTATCCCACGTTCTAAGAAGTGCTTCTCTCAGCTCGAAATTTCCGTTTCAGATCCTCTACCCCCATTTTTCAAACGGCATTGTAGACAGCTTGGGTTATCTGTCCTCAGCAGTTCTCTATGGGGTTGAGATCGGGACTGTTCGTTGGCCAATGTGACTCGCTCAGCCCAGCATGCCTTGTGTTGCTAGAACCAATCCTCAGGCACCCAAAGCAACGAAGTGGACGGACTAACGCTCACAGGAAGCAAGTCCGTAAATGGAACAGATCTATTGGTTGGTATCCGTCGATGCAAGGAGCTCGGCTTCCGCGAAGATGCAGTAGCTAGACTAGCCAATAGGCTATCATGCCTCGTCGAGCCATCTACTGCGTACTGACCACATGTTATGAGTGGATGACGCAAACACACTCCTGACACCCACCGGTTTGCTCAGGAGCACCGAGCCGCCCATGATGAGTAAACACTCACCGTAAAGGCCAACGTCGCTCCCACGATGGACAATTCCATGGGTTCGATAATCAAACTTCGATTCTTATGCCGTGTGGCGCCGGACACGCTATAGTAGTGATGACATCTAATCGTCCCATATATTCGCCGGCAGGGAGGTGAAGAGTCTTCACTGAAGACCAAGCTGAGCACAGCCCAGGGAATTCAGTCGAAGTTGGCCAAGAAGTTTGAGTCGAAGTTGGCTCGGCGACACTCTGCCACACTTGAAGTGCACTAGTGTCACACTCTGCGAACCAGTGGATATGAATGCTTGGGGATGTGACTCCAGCCATGACGATTAGGGGAGAGTTGATTGCTGTTCTCGCTTGGTCTTGTTGTTCTGGCCAGTCTTAGACTAGCCACGATCACACTGATCTAGAACAGAAGCCATTGAGCAGTGACCCCACTTTCGTCCTGGCTTCTCCAAGATGACATCCCGAGAAACTTCCCGGAGGGAGTTGGTTCCCGCAACGAAATGCTCTGGTGCGACGACCAGTCGAGCGGCATCGTCGATGATTCAGCAGGAATTTAGTAGCTGATTTTGAGTTTTGTAGTTTTAATAGTTGCTCCCAGAGTTTCAAGACCATACACTGTACGTGATCTTGAAACCCGATAATTGGGAAGCTGAATACGAGTGTTTCCGAGCCTCTTAAGTTTGGCTCGAGAACTCTATAAGTTTTAACGTATCATATTTTTTATCGAACTTTATGGACGAGCTCTCTCGTTCGTGGTGACCTACCACTGGTGAGATGCCCCAGTTCCACGGTTCCAGCAGGGAACCCCAAGCCCAGCAGCAGGCCTCTCGACAATTGGCTTATCCCATCAGAAGTTATGGAGGCTTTCGACGAGTTGCTTGCTCCGAATATGTGGCCTTCGAACATACATTCGTAGCAGATGCTTATCTGATCGGGTAAAGGAGATGACCATGTATTGAGCTGGGGATAACCTCACATCACACAGATCACACTTGCGAACGGAAAATGGAGAAAGAACTCACCTGTTCCATATGGGGACTAGCGAGAAGCATGATACAGAGAAGTAGAAGCTCTTGAGTAGGGGCACATAACTGCTTAAGGATGCCATAACACAGCGACAAACTAAGAGGGTACGGAATAGCCGTGAATGTGATAACTGAGACACAACTCAAATCCGTTTTGATGACATTACAATGTGATGCTTAGAAATGAAAGGTCTCATCCATTTCAATCATGACTACCACTGCGATCCCTCTTATCACGAGATCTGGAGCGAGGACGGTGATGATGACGATCCTTGTCGTTGTGATTGCGATGTTTCGACTTCCTCGAACCTGACCGTTGATAATCATAACATTTCAACACATCTTAGCTTCACTTGAGTCACTCAGGTTATTAAACCGTACGCATATACATCCAAGTTGAACGTACATGCGCACGGGTTTCGGGCTCATGTAAGACTATGCATACGATGTAAGACTCCCATGAAACTTCATTTCTATTCCAAGGGTATTAAGTCCAACGACGCGCTCCTATAACACTAAATTCCTCGCGTGATGGAGAGCATCAACATCAGCGTCAACCAATAGTCGATACTCCGATGCAAACACCAAGGACAGCACGACCTAACGGAGACCTACGCATCTTAGAGAGGTGGGTCCTCCAATCTTCGACCTTCGACTGAGACTCCCCACTCTTCCGTTCATTCGCATCGGGGCCATTCCTCGTCTCCTCCAGATTCTCCTCAACCTCCTTATTTCCAGACCGCGTCGGGGATCTGCCGCATACTTCCATATACTGCTCCACCATAGTCGCAAGAGTGGTCGAGATAGAATTACCTGCGTTCAATCGGAGTTTTCTCCATGGTCGGAGCTTCCCTTGTTGGTGGTGATAAAGGCATGCCTCTGGCCGAGGCGAACTTCTCTCTCAGCGCTTTACTGGTCTCCTTAATCTTAGCCCAGCCTTGATGCTGCTTGCCACTACAATAGACCAAAGCATTCTCTGTAGTGATAACACTGTGCGATGAGAAAAGGACGATCATCCGGACCCCTCACTGTGGAGGACAAGCAGCTGGCAGGTCTAAATGCCTGAGACTCTCCGTAACACGACGACAGCCTTAACAACACCACTGAGGAAGCAGCAAGCTTCCCCTTTGCCAGGTAAGAGTCGAGTATAGGTCACGAAGCAGATATTCGATGAAGGCCACCCAAAGCTACCGTGCATGCTCGTGATTCTCTAGAGTCATATGAGCGTCGTTCTCATTGAGGGTTACCAGACAGCCGCAAACGTCACAAACTAGTTCAGTACGCGTCATATGGAGGTACTTCTCACCACTCAAGTCACGAATCTTATCATTCAGTGGCTCGATCTGAAATTACAAGGGTAGATTCTTCACGCGCCACAAAATTACCCCAACACTCATCATCATCTACTACCTGCGCCATCTTCTTTTCGGAGTCCATCAAGCGGCCTCTCTCCGCTAAGCCCTCGGCCTCTTTGACCAGACCGTCGATTTTGCTCTGAAACCATCATCGTCATACCACACTTCTCGGAACTCGTGCGAGAATCCGATGCCCAAGGGCGAGAGGCGCTAGGAGCATCCCAAACATATTTCCCGAATTGACATTTACATGACCACAGAACGGTAACCTATAGTACCCGTAGTTCATCGATTTTCGCCTTATTCTGGGCGGGAACCTCGATGTCTGGTATTTCTGTGGCCACTCGAGCCTTCCCTGAACATCTTTGCATGAACAATCTTCTGCCGATCACAACACCTACCTCTGCGGATCTTCTGGGCCAACTGGGTCTCCATGTACTCGCAATAGCTCAGTAATTTACGTTCATACCTGCAACCCTCACTCTGCAGGTCACCGATACGCCATTTCAAACCTATCAATGATTTCTTTCTTTTCCCTGCTATCCTCCATCTGGTCAAACCGGAATTTAGTATACTCACAATGTTCCTTCCCACAGGACCCCGTATAGGCTCGAGTATTCACAAAGAGCTCATTAGGACTGAATGGGTCGTGATGCGAGAACAGCGAATGGTAGATCATCTGTAGTACCAGAAATCCACTAGGTAGTAGGGACAGTACTGATCCTGGTAGAGCCAGTTTATCCTCTTTTCAGAAGATTTCGACTTGCCAGCTGCAGTGGCGTTACGATCGCGACCCATGAGCTGGTCTAGAAGTGCTCGAGCTTCTTCCATCACAGGGGAAAAAAGACGGCTGGGGACATTTGAATTTCCCGATGTCGTACCACACCTTTTCCAATTCCTGTATTCCCTCTACACCCAATCCGTGTCGATCTCCCTCGAACCACACAGTGCTCTTATGATCACAGAATGACTGTCTAGTGAAACTGAATCATTCCGATTGCATCATCCAATGCGATACATTGAACCTAATTAAGCTGGACGAGCGACGTTAGTAGTGCTGAGCTCCAGCTCCCAACACAATGGTACATATATAGAGTGGGAAACGCATAAGGCTTAGATATGGTAGAGGTGAAACCAACTTAACATTGCTACGACTGCTCTTGCTCCTTCGTAAGGCCACTGCCGTGCCTACTTCTACTGCGAGTGCGACTCTCCTCTCGCTGTTCCTTCTCTTCATGACGATGATGTCGACGCTTCCGCCCTTGTCGTGCTCCTGCAGAGCGCACAAGCAGACTACAGGACCCAGCGACACGGCGCCCTTAGTCCTACGCATCTTCGCAAGATAATCCCTCCAGTCCTCCACCTTACTCATGTACTCCTCCGACGTTCGCGATATCGTTGCACTAGCTGTTGATGACGCATGCCGTCGAGAAGACACCGATGCTTCAGAAGGAGTAGGAGTGGAACTGAACAACAAGTCGTCCACACCCTAGGAGCTCCACAAATGCTCCGTATCAACGACCGGAGGTGTATTCACATGCAACGTCCCTTCACCCGAAAGGATCACTTTTCGAACGGGGAAGCTTGCGATAAACAGTCGCGAAATCCATCATTTTCAGAATGGGAAAATCCGACAACCTACGGCGGTTCACTCGTTGCTGTTGCCTCTTTCGGTGGCAGGGATGGAGAAGGGGAAGGTGTATGACTCTTTGACAAGAACTTCTCTCGAAGAATCGATATAGTCTCGCGGATCTTAGCCCAACCCTGATGCTGCTTTCCTCTGAGAAGAATCACAAGGTTGAGCGTGTAAGATACAGAATAGGTCAGACAAGAGAACATCCATCTCACCGTGCATGCTCATGATTTTCTACATTAGCCTTAGGGTCGTTCTCATTAAGTGTAACAAGGACTCCGCAAACGTCACATACGAATTCAGTTCGAGTCATCATCATATACTTCTCCCCGCTCAACTCTCGGATCTTAGCGTTTAACGACTCAGTCTGACACCACAGTAGCGGTCAAGGAGGCCTTCGATGACGACCAACCTGTCCCATCTTCTTCTCGGATTCGACAATTCTACCCTTCTCGGCGAGCTCCTCAGCCTCCTTCACGATACCGTGTATACGGCCCTAAGAGCAGTTCAAACGCATAATCACTCATACCACTCCTCTCCCAACTCACCTTTAGCTCTTCTATCTGCTCCTTATTCTGTGGTGGAACTTCTATGTCCGGTATCTCGGCACTGACTCGAGCCTTACCTGCAGCACAACACGGATGACCCTGGATGCCTCAAGCTGAACAATAACTGGATACGTATAGCAGTGAACAACTAACTACTACAACCCGCTCGAAACGAGTACGGTGCGCTCAGAAGTGACGCTCTCTTCCGTCACCTACCTCTCCTTATCTTATGCGCCAGTTGTGTCTCCAAATATTCCAAGAAGCTCAATAGCTCTCGAGAGTACCTGTCGCCGTGCTATCACAACCTTCGAGAGACCACAGTCAGCAGCGGAAGTGAAGACGACTCCATTGCAGCTCTCCACGAAGATTGAAGACCACACACATATTTTCCCATCAACCTACTTATCAACCACAGCTCTCTTTTCCGCACAGTCTTCCCATTTATCAAAGCGTGACTTGGTGTATTCGCAATGCTCCTTATTGCACATACCCATATCAGCTCTCGTGTTCACGAATAGATCATTAGGGCTGATCAAGGAGACCGTACTCCCAGCAGGCCCACCTACTACGGGCGTACCACGAAAAAGTTCCAGAACAGGAACAATGAGTTCAGTAAAAGCTGCCTATTCATAGTTAGTGCAACATAATGCCGAGGGAAATACGAATATGAAGAATAAACAATGTACGTGAAAATATACATATGAAAAGTGAACACGAATCAACCACATCTGAGCGATTAAATATGAGTGTATACCCCCAATTCACATAACATAGATATTCCACATCACGCGTTCGATAAGCTATATAACGATGAACGATTACTGCACGCTCTACTACTCGGTACACTGCTCTCTCACCCCGAACACAGCGACAAGCACACTTTTCGATGCACACGATTCTATAAAGTGCGAGCATTGAGGAGTGCGCGTAGAGGTAGAGCCCAAAGGTAACGTACCAGAAATCCACCAAGAAGTACGGGCAGTATCGCGTCTGCGTCAACCAGTTAATCTTTTTCTCCTCACTCGCATTCTTTTCTGCCGCAGAAACGTTTCTGTCGCGACCCATGAGCTGATCGAGCAAGGCCCTTGCCTCTTCCATAGTAGTAACAGTAGTTTAAGGTTAAGGAATATACGTACAACTAACAGGAAGATTCCTGGAGAGCTCGTAACCTGACGATCGTTGAAGTGATAGAGATAATATTTAACGCGACGATTGCACGCATATGCAACATGGAACCGAACCTAACCCCATTGGTATGCGTGGAGGGCTCACCCGCACCAGTGAGAGGGTTCACCGGCACCAATCACCTCGAAAGTTTATCCACTCAGTAACTGGTACGGAGGGCGGCCTACGGCCGCCCCGCAAGCCCTCAGTGCTTCACGCTTTGCAATCGGAGGGTTTTCGGGGTTGGCCGTTTTCCTCGATTTTGCCAAGTGCACAAAACGCGCTGTTGAGGAAGTGCAAGATTTACCAAGTTCTCCAAGTTAGCGGTCTCAGCCTTTATTGAAGGTTCTCAGGCTGTGCCTGTGACTCCAGTGGTTGTCGTTGATGCTGGTGGCTGTGGTCACCATGATCATAACAAGAATCCTTGTAGAACCGCAGTCGCGGAGCGAGCCAAGCGAGCGGAGCATATACCGTAACAACAGGCACTTTCGCGTTGTGCGTGCGTGCGTGCGTGCAGAGTTATTCTGGCTTAACTACGAAGCGTGGGAGGCTATCAGCTAAATCAAATAACTCCTCTGTATGCGGAGGTGTTGGGGAAAATGGGAAAACTAGATTATGCGAGCCGATCGAAGAGATATGCACGAAAAGCTTTAATGATGGAGAAATGTCCTACCCGGGGATCAAACCGGGGACCTATGTAAAATTCATTGATTGAGTCCATAGACGTGGATTCCGCTCCTTCGTCACGAAGGCCTATTTGTCCTTGAACTCGCCCTTCCCCCGCGTAGCTGGGCTTATTCTGCACGCATGCGCTAATGTGGCCGAGCTGCAACCCTCACTCCCTTTGCGCACACATACACAATTGCCCATGAAAAATGGCACCTCATTTGCGACAAGTCCGGAACGCGGTAGCCATGTCTCAGGGAGGTACACATAGCCAGCGAGACGATGAGGCTGCGAGAATGAGGGTTGGAGAATGTCTTGGATGGATATATTCGTAACAGGGACATGCTCTTTGCATGTGGACGCTTGTTTGAAACATATTCGATGGATGCTGAAGTTATTAGACATCCAACGAAACACCACACTGAAAACGAAGCTCGATACAATAGTAGTTGGGAATTACTCAGTCCTCTCGATATTTCCACAATGGATAGTGGAATGGCGAATATCACCCTCAAACTGAAAGGGGTCCATTTTGTTAGTCACAAGGGTGTTACTGCTTCTAGACATTGTGCGCGATTGCACGTATGTGCATGGCTGATCATCCATTCTCCCGAATAAATTAAGACAGAGATCTTTACAACTTCTTCTAACTTGTGTTATCGACTAAGAGTCACAGCCAAGCAACACAAGGGGCATCGTCTATAGTTGGGAATGACCCGTCCTGCCTCTATTTTCACAATGGACGGTGGGGTGGCGAACATCACCCTCAATCTGAAGGAGTTCCAAATAGTTAGTCACAAGGGGCATCGTCCATAATTGAAAATTACTCAGTCCTCTCTATATTTCCACAATGAATGCTGGCTCAATCCGAAGGAGGTGCATGTTGTTAGTTATGAGGAGCATCGTCCATTGTTGGGAATGACTCAGTACTCCTATATTTTCACGATGGATAGTGGTGACGGATATCATCCTCAATCTAAAGGAGGCCCACATAGTTAGTCACAAAAGACATCGCCTATAGTTGGGAATTACTCAGTCCTCTAGATATTTCCACAATGGATAGTGGAATGGCGAATATCACCCTCAAACTGAAAGGGGTCCATTTTGTTAGTCACAAGGGTGTTACTGCTTCTAGACATTGTGCGCGATTGCACGTATGTGCATGGCTGTTCATCCATTCTCAATAAATTAAGACAGAGATCTTTACAACTTCTTCTATGTTATGAGTGCCTAAGTTGACTCCCAACTAAAGCTTATCCAAGGCGCAGAAAAGCCTTTGTGTATGCGTACAACTGTGTAAGGGCATAGCTAATGGCTTAAGGGCACAAACAACTTCAAGAGTGCAAGGATAACCATTCTCAGTCACTTACACTAAATAGATGACGAGAAATGCTAAGATCACAATGGTGCACACAGAGTGACTCAGCTACAGAGACATGATGCTCGACTAATGCCTGATTACAGCATATAACATCTCGCAGCTGCCGTTAAAGGTGTTCATGAAGAACTTCTTCATTGTGGTGCTTCTGAGGTTGAAGATTACTTGAAGAAGGTGTATTCCTGGCCTTGTATGCCTGATTACAGCATATAACATGGCTAATCATCCATTCTCCCGAATAAATTAAGACAGAGATCTTTACAACTTCTTCTAACTTGTGTTATCGACTAAGAGTCGCAGCCAAGCAACACAAGGGGCATCGTCTATAGTTGGGAATGACCCGTCCTGCCTCTATTTTCACAATGGACGGTGGGGTGGCGAACATCACCCTCAATCTGAAGGAGTTCCAAAGAGTTAGTCACAAGGGGCATCGTCCATCATTGGGAATTACTCAGTCCTCTCGATATTTCCACAATGGATGCTGGCTCAATCCGAAGGAGGTGCATGTTGTTAGTTATGAGGAGCATCGTCCATTGTTGGGAATGACTCAGTACTCCTATATTTTCACGATGGATAGTGGTGACGGATATCATCCTCAATCTAAAGGAGGCCCACATAGTTAGTCACAAAAGACATCGCCTATAGTTGGGAATTACTCAGTCCTCTAGATATTTCCACAATGGATAGTGGAATGGCGAATATCACCCTCAAACTGAAAGGGGTCCGTCCATTTTGTTAGTCACAAGGGTGTTACTGCTTCTAGACATTGTGCGCGATTGCACGTATGTGCATGGCTGATCATCCATTCTCCCGAATAAATTAAGACAGAGATCTTTACAACTTCTTCTAACTTGTGTTATCGACTAAGAGTCACAGCCAAGCAACACAAGGGGCATCGTCTATAGTTGGGAATGACCCGTCCTGCCTCTATTTTCACAATGGACGGTGGGGTGGCGAACATCACCCTCAATCTGAAGGGGTTCCAAATAGTTAGTCACAAGGGGCATCGTCCATAATTGAAAATTACTCAGTCCTCTCTATATTTCCACAATGGATGCTGGCTCAATCCGAAGGAGGTGCATGTTGTTAGTTATGAGGAGCATCGTCCATTGTTGGGAATGACTCAGTACTCCTATATTTTCACGATGGATAGTGGAGTGACGGGTATCATCCTCAATCTAAAGGAGGCCCACATAGTTAGTCACAAAAGACATCGCCTATAGTTGGGAATTACTCAGTCCTCTCGATATTTCCACAATGGATAGTGGAATGGCGAATATCACCCTCAAACTGAAAGGGGTCCATTTTGTTAGTCACAAGGGTGTTACTGCTTCTAGACATTGTGCGCGATTGCACGTATGTGCATGGCTGTTGAGTGCCTAAGTTGACTCCCAACTAAAGCTTATCCAAGGCGCAGAAAAGCCTTTGTGTATGCGTACAACTGTGTAAGGGCATAGCTAATGGCTTAAGGGCACAAACAACTTCAAGAGTGCAAGGATAACCATTCTCAGTCACTTACACTAAATAGATGACGAGAAATGCTAAGATCACAATGGTGCACACAGAGTGACTCAGCTACAGAGACATGATGCTCGACTAATGCCTGATTACAGCATATAACATCTCGCAGCTGCCGTTAAAGGTGTTCATGAAGAACTTCTTCATTGTGGTGCTTCTGAGGTTGAAGATTACTTGAAGAACGTGTATTCCTGGCCTTGTATGCCTGATTACAGCATATAACATGGCTAATCATCCATTCTCCCGAATAAATTAAGACAGAGATCTTTACACTTCTTCTAACTTGTGTATCGACTAAGAGTCGCAGCCAAGCACACAGGGGCATCGTCTATAGTTGGGAATGACCCGTCCTGCCTCTATTT